GAATTTTAGTACAATTCTCGCCTTTCAAGTCAACGCTGGTTCCTTAACATTTTCAGTGGATTCGACAATTTTTCCATTTCTTTTTATTGTGATAATTTTTCGCGTAGTAATTACTGTTTTTGTTTATATGTGTCATCTCGCCCTATATAAATCTATTTAAGGAATTTGTAAGTCATTGTATTACAACTGATAAAGGTCTCGGACCGAAACGTTTTTGTTAAACTTTCTTAGACTTTTTATTTGAGTATATGTCTTTCTTAGCTCGAAGTTGTCCTTCCTCGTGTACTACAATATTTTTCTTATATGTATGTATATATAACTAACTGTATTTTGTTACGGTTTACAGTTGTTGTAAAAAGTGCGCCTTCCCTTTTTTAATACTCGCCGCATTGCTTCTTTGCAACTGGTTACGCCACTCATATTAACATATTTAGTATTCTTATCTCTTAGTTTTTAGGGTGTGTTTCTTGTATTTTGTCCATTGCTTTCTTTGTAATTAGGTTTTCGTTTATTAGCACCAGTTCATTAGTCGTTATCTGTAATTACGTAATCATTAGCTCTTCGATCCTATTTAATGCTCTTTTTTTTATTCAAAAGTTGTAAATAACTGAAGAAGGTCTCTGACCGAAACGTTTTTTATTCAAATTTTTGATATTTTTTACGTCAGAAGTTGTCCATCCTCGCAATTTTTTAAACTTTCTACGTTCGTGTTAGCTGTGAGGTTTGGACTGCGAACATCTATTGATCCTCCTGGCGCGGTGCACCTTTGTTGGCCTGAGAGTTCCATTAAAGACTATATACATACACCCGTTTTCAGACACTGTATTCTGAAACGTATGTCATACATATTTTTTCCAAACTCTTTTTCTCCGATTTAAAGGGATAAAGCTACCTTTATCATGATTTGTGAGGTATTCGATGTTCTTTCTTTATCTTAATAGCATGTATATTTACTTTTGGCAAATGACCATTATGCAAGCTCCACGAGAGTCCTTAAAGATTAATATTATACAATATGGGGAGAGAAAATTGTTAGTATATTTAAACAATTTTTGTAGCTTCAATTTTTCGACCTATGGCTCCCCGTCTTGCAGCTCTTACGCCACTTTTGTATTCTTTTAAAACTTCCTACGACCCAGCTTCACAATTGTTAAATATCCTCTGTCGCAAGCGAGAAGACATCAGTTACCCCCTATGCAATCGACTTCATTTAAAAAGTAGAGTTTCATCCAAAGGAAATTCACTTCGATCTCATCGGAAGATTCCTTTTTTCTCTTTTTTTTCATATATTTTCAAAGGGGAAGCCCACAGACATACGTAATCACTAACTCATGCAACCATTATATCAATTTTTCATTTTGGAATTACTCCACCGGAAATCTCCCGTTAAATCATTCCTAGTTATTCAGAGGAGTGACTGCTGGTCAATCTAATAATAGATAGGCCACACACAAATTTTTATTCTTAGTAACGTTTGAGTTACCAGATAAGTGCAAACTAGCGCTAGAATTAATCAGGGCAAACATATTCTTATTTGACAATATACTCTTTTCAATCATTTTTTTTCCTGAAAAAAATTAAGTTTCGCCGTTAAGAACCTTGTCGGTTATTAAGACAAATAATTAAGTTTTTGCATTCTTGCTCTATGCTAGGCAATCTTGCTCTCAAATAAAGCACTGTAGAACGACTTAAATGGAAAAACGTAAGAGTTAGTCTGTCGGAGGTGGCAAATAACAGTCAATAGAACTTACAAATATTAGATTACTGGATCTATGATCCATGACGACGATTTATAATAAATATAAAAGAAAAAGACATCCCAACTGTCGTTCGATTTTATTAATTTTTTTTTTCTGGTAAATAATTAATATCAAAAAATACGATCGCCCTAAAAAATAACCCTTAAACAACCTGTGATACTCAATGGGAAAAATCCTCAATTAACAAGTTTGTCATAACTTCCTATCCAAAACCAGATCTGACCAGTTTTGGATGATAACAAACTACCCTTAACAGAACGGGTCAGTTTTGAAAGTACTAATATGAATTTAACTCGAGAACGATCTAACTCCATGCACAGCAGAGTCCCTGTCTGATTGTCTGCTTTACTGCTTGTCTCACTTCACTAATCTTCCAGCAGTAAAGAAGTGGGTTTAAAGTTGAGTTAAAGAACACTAAAATCGAGACTATTCCAAAACTGAAGTAAGACTGAGATGAATGTGTTTGTTACAAACTATGTTAATTTGTACAATACTATATGGTAGAAAACAGACAATCAATGCTAACTGCACGCACAGTGCACCGTACCCTTCCTTTTCTATATCGCACCAAGTTCAATGCTTTTGTCGGTTGGCTCAGCTTTTGTTGAAGATGATCTCTCACTTGAGCGTGATCTTTACGTAGAACGCGGAAAATCATTAGGTACGAGACAACCGAAATTATTAGGCAAGGTGGCGGAATTATAAAGCTGCACCAAAATGATATCTGAGGATCTAGAATATAGCAAAAAGCAGCAGCACCGGATATAACCCAAAAGGTAGCGACGATGATATACGTACGCCTCAAACTTACAATTTGTTTGTATCTCAGCCGCAACGATATTGCGAGAAGTCTGTCCACACTTATTGCCGCCGTAATCGTCAACAAAGACGCTCCACATAATGCGTAGCCTGTTATGTAGCCGTTGTCCCTAGTCTCCTTCGCAGCCGCTCGGGGCGGAGTCACGCAACACCCCCCGTCCCCACAGGGAGCGTTGCGTGACTCCTGCCCGAGCGGCTGCGTAGGAACTAGGTGTCCCATGCGTATCTACAAAGACTCCAGTCTTCGTAAACTAAGGTTATGTAATAAATAGCGTCAAGAGGCTGGCTAAGAAGAGCAGCTAACAGATCAGTTGTTGCAAGACAACAGTTTGGATGGCGAATGAAGGCAAGATTCCTTGTAAAGAGCAACAAGGATAAGAGAATTGCCAAGAAATGCTGTGATGGAGAGGATAATGTTGACTACTGCGAAAGAAATTGATTGTTGTCGTAGTCCACCAACTAAAGAAGGGGAACATACCAGTTCTTGAAAAGTTTGCGTCTGCTTTACACCTGATGATAAGTCGTTTTGATTTCTTAGCAGATTATCCGATGTAATTGCAACCAGAGATATTTCGTCTTCAGAGCACCCGTCGAGCCACAGTCACTGAAACTTTCTAACAAATATTTACATAGAGACTTTCCATAATAGTTTTCATCATTCAAATATGCAAATAAACTGTCTGTAATGTCAGAAAAAAACAAATTAATAAATTTTTCCTCATAATTCTTTTTTGCGCCTCTTAGAGAAATAAAGGGACGTAAGCTTACAAACATTTATATGAGAACAATTTTATTGCGCTAAAATGTCCATATTTAGTCCAGACGAATTCTCGTTGTCATGATTAAGGATTAAGAATGATTAAAATATCATTTTTGTGGTGTTGAGTATTGAATCAGCCTCTAAGAATGGAAAATTAAACTTTCAAGGCAGCGATGTCAATCGGTCCGGGAAACACTTCAATTCGCAAATAAATGAACATGTTCACAATTGACGTTTGGTCGCAAATGTTAATTTTTTTTTTTTCAATGTATTTGGCTTAAAATTTTTAATTAAAAAGAGAATTTCCACGCTTCAATCTGTTTTACCCCTTCATTTTTTTTATATTCTCTAAATACCCTCTTATTATTATTTATATTTCTTTCAGATTTGAAGTGATTTACCTTATTTCGGACACAATAGCAAATAGAATGACACGAGAAAATAAAAGACAAGTTAGGAAAGGTTTAATAAACATGCAAATTGGGTTTACTGTTGTTTGTGAATATTCCAAGATACATTTTCGTTAACAGTGGACTTAAACATAGTTTGGCTATGTTACTTCGACTTTGATTTGAGCGCTACTAAAAGTTGGAAAACTAGAATGGATCTGGAGATAATAATAAGAATGATAATGAATGACTAAGGTTATTACCATCGGTCATCAAAAATATTGCATTTTCAGTATAAACTGCTAAAATCTTTCTCATTTTAAACACACAATTAAACAACTTCAGACGATAATTATTTTCCATGTTTTTGTTTCAAAATGATATATTTGAAGAGGAAAACGAAGGAGACTGTAGACTTATACTACATTTAGTGTGAGAAAGATGTTTCTTTTTTTTATCTTTTCTGACTGATAACTTTTAAACAGGCTGTTCAGACTAGGAAAAAACTAATGACCCATTTTGAAAAAGATGATTAAATAACTCAAGGATGATTACTTTCTTGTGTTCTTGCAATCCGATCAGTCAATCATTGCCCTTACACGACTCGCTCACGAAAATCTTAGTAAAAATTTCCTATCCGCTCCAATAGCTTATCGATTGTGGTGTCAGTGGACTTAGAGACAAGGATAGTTGAAAAAGGTCTCCACCAATTCCAAGCTCCAACCTGAGATAAAGAAAGATCTCGTGAGTATTTTTTTTTAAATAATGGGAAGAATGTTAATTTATTAGATGTGGTTATACTGAGGACCGAAAAAAGTCCACTAACATTATTAATGCTGCGATTAAAAGAATCCGTTGAGAGAAGCGAGAGCGATGGCTGGCTAACTCTGCTAAAAAAATTGTCACAGTTCAAAAATAACAATAACAAAAGAAACAACATATATTTCTTGGGATATATCTATTTATCAATGCTCGACGGCAGTCAGGCCGAGCGATCTGTATTGGAAGCTATGGGGTCTTAATCTAATGAAAAATGATTAATTATTTCTACGAAAGATATCGGGTTTTTTTTTTTTTGCTGTGTGTCATTTGTTTTTCGTTTGGTGTTTTTTCTTTCATTTTGATCTATTTATTTTGTTTTATCATTTTGAGAACTTTGAATTCTACATTTAATGAAATTTTTTATCAGATAACCCCACATATCAACTTTTTAAATGCAAATTATCGTTTCGTTACATTTTTTCATGTTTACTTCAGGTTGAATTACAAAAGATGTCTCAAGCAACTTTTTCAGATCCTCTTGGCCGCTCGGTGGCAGAAATCACTTTGGGAATAACCTTCGCCATTCTGGTTTGCCTCGCTGCCATAATTGGTAATGTGCTGGTTGTTTATGTTGTAATTAAATACTCCGAGATGCAAACCATCACCAACATTTTCATTCAAAACCTTGCACTGACTGATATCGCCACGGCGACTCTTAACATGCCGTTCTGGACAGGAAGCTTGTACATGGGAAGGTGGAATTTTAGTCAGGGATGGTGTGAAGTTTCTGCATCAATAATACTCGTTACGGCTATGGCCTCAGTGTTAAGTATGGGTTTAATTGCCCTGAACAGATACATAAAAGTCGTGAAGCGAGCCTTGTATATCAAGTTCTTTCCCAGTAAGAGAGTAGCTTGGATGTACTGTGGTGTCGTCTGGCTGGTTTCTGTCCTATTCGCCACACCTGCGTTGTACGGATGGGGAAAAATAGACTTCGACTCAGATCTCTTACTCTGTTTCTTTAAATGGAAGGAGGGACACTTTTCTTTGGTCGTGATGATTGCTTGGTTCTTTAACGGGATGGCAAGTACGATAAGTTACTCCTACTGGAGAATTTACCAAACATTGAAAGAAAGCACAAACAATATTAACGCAAATGTCGCGCAAATCGGTGTCGGCGCGCCAAGGCTCAATCGCGCCGATTTCAAACTTCTTAAGACTTGTTTCACGGTGGTTTGCTTCTTTTTCACCACATGGGGTCTTCCATCCATTATCACTAGTTTAGCCACTTATGGAGTTTCCGCTCCTTGTGTAACACTTAAGGTAGCCCCTTATTTTACGTTCTCTGGTAGTTTTGTGAATCCAATCATCTATGGGATCATGAATCCGCAGTTTAAAGAAGCTTTCAAAAAGGCACTAGAATGTTGGTGTTATGGCTACCATAATGCAGAACAGAATCATGCCAGAGCTGGTGCTGCAGTAATACATACCCTTTGACTTTCCGCCATGATTAACAAATAATTTCGTGTCGAGCCAAATATTTTCCCTTCCGGCCTTCCCACAAATTAAGTACACATAATTTGTGCAAGTCTTTACTCGATAAATAAGATTTTTATAAAATTTTAAGCAAAAGTCTCAGCTAATTTTTAGAAATTAATTATAGGAGCAAATACTCCTTATTGAATCATTTTTTGTTCAGTAAGAGTAAAGGGCCATCTATGCACTGCATTGTGAAATTGTGAAATATTTGCATCACGAGTCATAAGTCACAGCTCTGTTCAGGTCATTTTTGATTGTATTATACTAAAGAAGCATTTATGCTCTCTTTTGACGTAGGTTAATATTTTTTCTGCTTAATATATTCGTAATAGCCGACAAAATATTTGCAATACTGTACCCTGTCTTTTGTGTATGAACACTGTGATGGGAAGAGGTCCGAGAAATTTGAATTGTGCAAATTAAAAAATCAGGTACAGTGGTTTACTCAGAGTTTAAGTCGCTACCATAGCTATCACTTTAAAGAGAGTGTGCTAAAACGTGTGTTTGAAGATTGTGAAAGTACCGTGAAAACGTGAAACAATCTGATATCAATAAAGTTGTTTCCCGAACAAACACTTTGCGTTGGTGGTGTAACAACAGTAGTTGACTAAATTATAAATTAGCTGAACAGCAAAAAGGGAATGGTTTGTTGCATTTTGATGCAATTATAAGAGCTCAGTATTTTGATACCGCACGACATGGATATATAATGGAGCGGGTGGAAGAATGAGTGGATGCTTAATTTCAAGTACTAAATGCTTCAAAATGCATCGAATTATTTCCTTTTTGCTGCTACGCTAATAGACAACTGAAAGAAACAGAGTTTAAAATGAATTGGACATCTGTTGGCAAATGATACGGTTAACATAGACATGAGAGATAGGGTTCGACATCTGGATGCAGTCTGAACGAATAGTCACTTGGACTTAACTGGACTTAACAAGGGCTCCATAAGAAGCACCTAAATCTTGAAAAGCATGAAAAATTAATTACTTTACTTCAAAACGTTCCTTTCGAGGCATTTTATTTCTCTCAAAGGTTTTTCTAGCTAAAACATTTAAGCTATAGGGTTGAAAATTAGAAACAAATGCCTGCGGATGGGAAGTTCATGTGTCTAATTAAGTGCGCGTGCTCAAGTACATAAAAATTTTATATAACAACACACAAAAGAAAGGCAAAATCTGTATAACTTTGACCTTAGAACGTATACGTTCTAAGAAGACCAAACAATTTCTTATCGGCTCGATGAGTAACTGCCATTTTTGATAAGTATGGGCATCGCTGTGAACTTCGTTATTAATAACAAGTTCAATTTCTAAAAGAACACCCAAATCTATGGGCGATTCCATACAGCTCAGTTTAAAACGTGGTTTGGCCCTTTTTTTCCTTTCTTTCATTTTCTTGTTTTCGCTTCTAATGGCATTATTTTCACGGGCACCATGAAGCTGTTGCTGCGAAATAGAATCTTTGCTACGATTTTCGTTTTACTGCGGACCTACTAAAGCTTTATTGTATTTGAAACACAGCAACACAGGAGGGTCACGATCATCGATTCGTTTAAGTTTGCAATCCGATCAGTCAATCATTGCCCTTATACGACTCTCTCACGAAAATCTTAGTAAAAATTTCCTATCCGCTACAATAGCTTATCGATTGTGGTGTCAGTGGACTAAGAGACAAGGAAAGTTGAAAAAGGTCTCCACCAATTGCAAGCTCCAACCTGAGATAGAGAAAGATCTCGTGAGTATTTTTTTTTAAATAATGGGAAGAATGTTAATTTATTAGATGTGGTTATACTGAGGACCGAAAAAAGTCCACTAACATTATTAATGCTGCGATTAAAAGAATCCGTTGAGAGAAGCGAGAGCGATGGCTGGCTAACTCTGCTAAAAAAATTGTCACAGTTCAAAAATAACAATAACAAAAGAAACAACATATATTTCTTGGGATATATCTATTTATCATTGCTCGACGGCAGTCAGGCCGAGCGATCTGTATTGGAAGCTATGGGGTCTTAATCTAATGAAAAATGATTAATTATTTCTACGAAAGATATCGGGTTTTTTTTTTTTNTTTATTTCTCTCAAAGGTTTTTCTAGCTAAAACATTTAAGCTATAGGGTTGAAAATTAGAAACAAATGCCTGCGGATGGGAAGTTCATGTGTCTAATTAAGTGCGCGTGCTCAAGTACATAAAAATTTTATATAACAACACACAAAAGAAAGGCAAAATCTGTATAACTTTGACCTTAGAACGTATACGTTCTAAGAAGACCAAACAATTTCTTATCGGCTCGATGAGTAACTGCCATTTTTGATAAGTATGGGCATCGCTGTGAACTTCGTTATTAATAACAAGTTCAATTTCTAAAAGAACACCCAAATCTATGGGCGATTCCATACAGCTCAGTTTAAAACGTGGTTTGGCCCTTTTTTTCCTTTCTTTCATTTTCTTGTTTTCGCTTCTAATGGCATTATTTTCACGGGCACCATGAAGCTGTTGCTGCGAAATAGAATCTTTGCTACGATTTTCGTTTTACTGCGGACCTACTAAAGCTTTATTGTATTTGAAACACAGCAACACAGGAGGGTCACGATCATCGATTCGTTTAAGTTATTTCTACTTCAAAATTATTTATTAGTTATTTTCTAGTCCTATGGGTAAAACTTAGTGGCTGGTACAAGTTAAAGACTGAGAGAAAAGAAATAAAGTAACTTTTTAATTTTTTCTTTTTTTTCCCCTCTATTGCCGGTCAAACAGCTGAAGGGCGGTAAAGGGTTAAAACTTTAATATAGTTTTAACCTTTGCCCAAAGTAACCTGATTGAATTCTATGCTGTTCTCCTCTCGTGGTTACATCTTCTTTGTTGTTCCAATTAAATAAATCACCTAAGTTGAAAAACTTGTTTTGATTTTTGTTGTTTTGTTAACTTTGGTTCTGATTTTCGCTTTGATTTTTTCAAATCATAGAAAAAGGAATTTCTACGATTTGAATAGTGTGATATGTCGCAGAACTAAAAAGAGACTAGAGCGCTTGCGGTTGAGTGTCATAAAACCAGATGGCAGGATCCTTCAACGTGTTTATATGTGTGATATTTCACTGCTCTTGGTAAATTTACAGAAAAGTGAAAGACAACACGTATAATTTCAACGCCAATGTCTCACAAGGCTTAATCATACCGACATTGAAATCTTCAAGGGTTGTTTCACAGTGGTGTTTCTTATTATTTACATGGCGTCCTCCCTTCCTAGCCGCCTTTCTAACAGGAACAATTTAACTCGCTGACGAGTGACAAGATTACTAATGTACAACTGAGACAAAAATATCACACGTCATGAAATTAAGATAATGTCACAGTAACGATCGCACCGACTCTTTCACTTTCAAAAGTGAAGGACATATAATTTCCTCTTTCGACCTCGATACATAATTCCGCCAAAAAAGGCCACGCGGCTATGAAACATTGTTATAACGCACTCAAATTTATACACCAAAAACCTCTTACCCAATTAAACGAAATGCATCACAGCTGGAGGGTAGAATTGTAAACCGTATAATTGTTGAATTGATAAAAGGAGCTATCCTTTATTGATATTCAAACTAAAATAGTTTGCTTGCGTTTTTACTCTGTCAATAGATCTTCATTACTTATTAATTGAGGATTTTCTGAAATTTTAGAAACGCAGTAGTAAATACGTCTCACTGAGTCGTTTGCGCTCACTGCATGTGAGTAAAGAGGCATTAAAAGTCATAAGTTAGAGCCTTGCTATAGTAACGTTTGCAGATATTGTATCATACAAAAATAAACCTCCTTTTGTATCAACGGTTTTTTCGAGCGAATTTCGATTTCAGCTGTTATTTGTCTTACTTAATGTTTACAATCACTCATTTTTGTTACTGAAAAAATGCTCTCTGTAACTAAGAGAGTGGAGTGTGGTACACTTGTGGAGTGTGGTACACTCCACAAGTGTACCACACCGCCGTAGCGATGGTTGAAAATGGTGTTGTCTGAACAATTACTTTCCTTTGGTAGCAGACCAACATTCGGTTATTAAGTGAACAGCTTTAAAAAAAGCATATGATCCGGTGCATTTTAACTTGTTGCAGGTGGTGGTAATCATCCAATAATAAAAACTGGAGGACGATCATTGAATTTTTAGCCTTTTGATTAATCGTTGCGACGACTGAATAAATTGTAAACGTTAAAAAAGGTATAGTTCAAGGGCTGTTTTCAGCTTGGACAATCTTAGCGCGGAGGAATACATTTACGAAGGGACTGACTCCCATATTGTGGATCCAGATTCAGTTAAGGTAGAGAGAGACGAAAGGAAAGCTTTCCAACAACAAGCAGCTGGCCAAACTGCCTCAGGAACTCGTGCGAAGTGGCTTTCAAAACAGACCTTCGATGGACTTCAGCAAGGTAAATAATGATATCCAATATGAGTGGTATACGCTTCAGAAAGAAATGTATCATTAAAGGACAATTATTATAACGATAAAAGAGCAACTTTTGATTCACCACATGGATGATATTTGATTCAGATGTGAAACGATCTTTTTTTTTTTTACCCTGGACACAATAGGGAAAAAATTACACTAAAATAAATTAAGGAAGCTTGTAAACGTGAAAAGTGATTTCCATAAAAACAACATTTCAAATCTTATTGGTCAAAAAAAAAATATTTGGCCTAGTTCCAACAGTTAGATTTTAACAATAAGAAATGTTGGAATACTGGATTTAGTTCACAGCGCTTGTAACTAAATATCATAAAACCCAAATCTCAGAAATCCCAACAACCAACCAGAGAGATGGAAAATACCCTGATCGTTTCATGAAATTAATGACCAGGTTCAATTTACCTTGTGTCATCTAAAATATTCAATTATCCGCATAAACTCTTCAAAGCCATCTCACATTAAGCAGATAGAGAAACGATTAAATAAATCAAGAAAATGATT